ATGATCAGCAGTGAAGAAATTTGACATGTTTGTTGTTTAAGTTGTTACCTTTAAGCTTTGGAGTAAATAACTCCATTGAGGTGAATGAGGCAGTTCATTCATCCCAGAACTACTCTTTCAGGCTACTGGTAGATTCAGAAAGACTACACTGCTTTGGCTTACCTTAATTCATATTTTAAGGTTGTCCCACAAACACGAAGAATCAAAACCTACATTAATTGTATCAGAAAACTTTAGCTTTTGATGCAGCAAGGCTTGGATTCCATATTAAATGTGTGGCTGCAGAACCATGAAATAAAGGGGGACTCAGTCTATAGGTTTTTTTCCCCTTCTTGCGGAAAGACAGTGAACCTTAATATTGACATAACTGGAAAATGCTATAACCACTGATATTTACAATTACAAAATCCTTCCCTATCCAGCAGGGGTTGACAACCTCCGGCCCATGGGCAGGATCCAGGGAGCCACTGCATCTGGCCTGTGGACGTGGAGCTTCAGCAGCTGCAGGTACTCTCCCCATGCTGCTGTTGGGGTAAGCAGTGGTGGCAACCACATTCCAGCACCCAGCCACCTCTGACCCAGGATGGGTCATTCCAGCCCACAGCCAGAAAAGGTTGCCTGCCCCTGCTTAATAATATTCTGATTAACTATAATAATTTATTGACCCCTCGTGTTTAATTCTAATCTTACCAGCACGTAAATCAATAGTGTTCTACCACTCCTTTTAATTCTAAGCAGTATTTTCAAATGTAACTTTATGTTGCAGTGTGAGTGTAGATTTTGGTGGATATAGTATCATAGCAATTTACTTAATTATCACGATTCTAAGGAATGTATGGCTATATCTAAATGATTTTCTTCTGATACAAAACTAGTCTTTCACTTTTTAAATAGTTTTTGAAGTCTGCTCGATCGCACAAGAAAGGATGTGCAATTAAAATGGAAGTGGCTAAGCAAAACGATTCTGCTAGAACTTCATTTTCCTGTAATTTTTTTTAAAACCTCTTAAATACTGTAAATCTATCCACATACTATCCACATCAATCAGGATTAATTTTCTATCAAAAGTCATGTCAAAAGTATGGCAACTTTCCAGCCACTACCACCAAGTGCTGGACATTAAGTATAACACATTTTCATACTAATATTTATGCATCTTTCTCCAAGAGAGTGAAAAATGTCCCTTACTGGGTTTTCTGTGCAAGCTCAGTGAACTTTCTCTTATAGTTCTTGTTTGTTTGTTTTCTTAGTAATTTATTAGATTTATATCCCATTCTATCCAGAAACTCAATTCACACGACCTGTTCTGATAGCTAACAGCCTTTAGTTATGCCCTGACATGGAGAACCTAAGAAGGTTGTACAAAGTGCATAAATATGCAGAGGAATGAATTTCAGTCACAGTGAGTTTTGCTTTATTATCTGTTGCCCAAGGCAAAATGTCAAAGCTTGCTAAAAGTCTTTGTCAGGCTAAGCAACTATATGCATTTAAGGAGGAGTTTAATGATGGTAAGGTGTCCTCTAAAAATGTCTTACCTCTTTCCTCAGAGGATCTACTAATGCAATAATAAAGGGATATTTATTAATCAGGTCCACATACATATCAACTAGTTCTTCAGGACTCTTGAGTGTTCCAGTGAGTGTTTCATATTTTCCTTTTGTCTAAAATTGCAAGTAAAATGTATAAAAGATAAGAATGGTAGCAATTTTGTAGTAAGAAATTACTAAGGCAGTCGTGCAGATCCAGTGGCCACAAAACCCTCCATAAAGGAATGCATGTTGTATTGTGTCAGTAATCATTCAAGACTGAATCTGACCCAGGGCTGCTTCATTCAGTGTCTGTGCTCTAACTGAGCAGCATTATGTAACACAAAATACAGTTTCATAGTTTAGCCTCCTCTATCCAAGTTAAACAAAAATTACTGGTAACATGAAATGGTTCCAAATCAGTTTTTGTCAGAGATAAGGCCACCTTGTGACCGTCTTTGAGGCTAGCAGCTGCCTGCATGTATGAAATGCTGTTTAAACCTCCTCTAATTGTCCATTTTTCCATGTGGGTATTTTCTTAGATCTTTTTGTTCCTGGTACTCTGGCGGTTAGTAATCACTCCAAACTAAGAAGTTTGCATCAATGTCAGTCCTTAATGATCATCCTTGTGTAAGATAAGCCTCCATATTAACTTAACACCAATTTCAATTGTTGCATGACAGACCTTCTTAAAGATACAGTTCCCCACACCATCCCTATTTCAGCCCAGACACTCTTAACTGGTTATGTAAAGCACTCCATGAAAATTTAAACTTTCTGAAATTCTGGAAAATAGTTATCAAATGTATTGTAAAATTCCAAGGTATTATCCCACCCCCACCCCCAGAAAAGTTATTTTTTTTTAAATATCATGATAGGTGGGGAAAGGCTGATTCATGATTTTTATGTTTAAAGACTGTACCACTATCGCATATAGGAGTTGTTTAAAAAAGCGTCAAATTTACACCAAAAAGCCCTTGTTTTCAACACTAACAGAGCCTGAAGACTGTGACATTTCCTGGTATTTTCTCATTTAAGGTTCTGTTCATCCTAAAGTAGGCTTTCTGCATGTACCAAGCTGGTTCCAGTGGATGTGGTTTCCATTATACTCCATTAGCTTGTAACATGGTTCTGACATTGACAGTGCTGCTAAAATGTTAGAAACAGAATCGTATTGATGTTTTTCTAGCTAAAGGGCATCCAGATTGATTTCGAACTTAAAAAAAAAAACTTTTCAAAATTCCCAATTGAGGTGCATAAATCTGACTAGATCCAAAAAACTTGCCAAAGTAAGAATTATATAAATGCTGACAGCCAATTATTGAAAGGCTTCTGAGTGTATTCAAGGTTGCTCAACATTGAAAATATACCAAGCAATAACTCCCTGCTTTGTGGTGTGTGCGCCTGAAAAAACAACAGATGCAGTACATTAAAGTAAAGAAACAAAAGACTGGTACGAATGCATCAAAGCAAAAATACTTTGAAGAATATGAAAATATATTTTATTTGTGCATTGGAGTGGTACCACAGAAGCTGAAGTAGTCTTTGTGCTTCTGGAGACTTGGATTCAGATCTGGTTTGGCTTATAAGAGAAATTAAATTGTCTTATTCAGTTTAACTTGCATGGTAATTTGTCAATTGGATTGAACTGCATTAATGGACAAGAACTGATCAGTAAAATCTCAGAAATGGAATTCTGGCTGGCACAGACAGCTTTTTAGCATTTCAGTTCTGAAGGCCCAATCATGAAACTGCATGGGTTCCTGTAAGGCAGATCACAGCTGCTATATAAGGCCATGAGGTGGAATAGCTGTCATGGTCTATTGTGCCTTGCTTCATATAAAGCTTAATTTCAGTTTACCCATGTGAGGGAGGGGTTGACCCTTGGTCCCTACACTGTCATGCAAAGAAGACGCTACTACAGAGCTCTGCTGCTCAGTACGCAAGGGGGTGAAAAGAATGTTGAGTGGTCTCTCTGCTACTTGCTTCCTTCCACTCACCATCCAGTAACATTTCTGTTGGGTTTGGACCATGCACACTACGTAGGGCTGACTGTTCAGAGCCTAGTATATTGGAGCAGGGGCTTTGTTTTGGTTACATATTTTATGCAGTATAGAAATGCTAGGGTTAGAGCCTCTAGATGTTATTGCAATACTGATAATAATTAATAATTTTAATGACATTACTTTAAAATCCATTAACATAGTTAACTGAGAATGACTTACATAGTCCATCAATTCATGAGCAGCACAGTTAATTGCTAAATAAACATCTATTCCTAGTTCCAGGCCTATGTTCCGGCAAGCTGTTTGCACTAAGACCAGAGGTTGTTCTAGAGTATCAAACCCTGTTGTTAGGCAGCCCAAGTGTGATATTCTTTTTAAAACTGGTGGCTGAAAATAAAGCAGAAATAATCTCCATATTAATATATGTGAAACTATACAAAGCGGTATCATTTAATTCAGAAAATATCCCCTCTCACAAGTTACACTGTAAACCATAGGGATGGAGATATATATATGCATGCAGAGGAATGAATTTCAGTCACAGTGAGTTTTGCTTTATTATCTGTGTAGGGACCAAATATGCTTTATTATCAGTGTAGGGACCAAATATATATATATATATATATATATATATATATATAAAAATATAAATAAAGGTTCCCAGAGGCCAATCCATAGAAATATAGCTGGTCACAAAGGGCATTTGTTCACATGCAGACACCGCAGTGGTGGATGCTTTGAAAAGCGCTCGGCGCTGTGGTACTTGCAGTTGTATAAGTGGCAAATGTGCGTCAGAGCTGAGAAAATGGCAGCAGCATGCTTTTGAACTAAAAGACATTGGAGGTGCTTTAGTTTAAAAGTGCGCCACCACCATTTTCTGCATGCTGATGCACAACTCACCACTGATACTGGCACAGTGCACATCAACTCATGTGCAGAGAAGACTTGATTAATCGAGTCTGCTCCAAAGCGGCGGATCTCTAGCACATCGCAGGACCAAAAAGTATATGTACAAATGCCCACAGTTCTGGCTCTTCTCATTTACAGTTTTCTTATTGACAATTCATAAAATTTTGCAAAGACTCTTCAAATACTACTTTTTTAATATGGTAATTGACAAAAGAATGAAAGGAGATGTAAATGAAAGAGGAGATTCCAAAGACAGCCTCCCCTATAATGTGGCGAATGCTGTGCAAAAGTTCCCATTACTCACTGATTACTCCTTTTTCACACCATCCTTTCCTTCACTTTTATAAATCTCTTCCCACTCAGTTATCCTGCTCCTCAAACCTAATATGGCACCTTTGGAGTAGTCAACAGGAAGTACAGGCTTTTCAAGTCATCCTGACTCAATTTAGGAAGGGAAATATAGCTGTGTTATGGTTCTCTTGTTGAGAATCAGGATTACATGGGCATGCAGTAGCCAGACATGGATGTAATGTTTCTGCTTTGCTTTGCTTTGATGTAAAAGTTGTGAATGTCTCCATAAAGTACTGCTGTGAATGTTATGTACCAAATTAATTACTTCTAACCACAGATATAGGTACTGCAAACTCGGAGCCTTAGGCTCCCCTGCTGCCTTTATGTAAAGCCTTGTGTAGAACCTAGAGTCCTCCATTTGGGGAACCCGTGTTTCTTGTCAGGGTAGACAGGAGGAGGAAAAGAGGGCACTAGTACTTACTGGTACAGCTGAAGTCTTAGTCTGATAAACTGGTACTGCTGCCTACCAGGGCCCAGTAGAATTGATTTAAATAACTATAAGATCTGCAGACCTTGGATTCCAAAGAATGACATCATGAGGTTGCCAAGGTAACTCAGCGGGATATAGTCCCAGATTCTGCTGAGGAAGAGTTATTTGGATAGCAACAGAATTTTTCTGCCTAAACTCAAGGGGTTTGGGGAAGATACGACCTAAAAGAAAGAGTGCCTAACTACAAAAAAAGACTATCCAAATATAAAATTTGGTGAGATGGGTCAGATTATTACGAAAAACACATTACTGTCCAAGACAAACACAAGCGAAATAAATTGTCCCGTTTGGCACAGATCATTTTATGCAGGTTAGGCTCAGAGAAAAGTTGTAATAGTCTGTTTACCTCTCAAAGTTGTTTGGTGGCAAGTCATATTTCCTTGTGGTTAGGATGTTTCATATTTCACAGAAGAAGAAAAGGAAAGGATAATCCTCTGAGCAGGGATTTCTTCTACGGTGAGGTGTCTCTGGGCTCTATAATGAAGCAAATTACCTCGAACAAAGCCAGGAGCAGCGTCACAGGTTCAGGTAGTAAAACTTGCTTCCTCCTTGTAAAATTATGAAGATTTCATTTAAAAAATTGGCTAAAATGTGCTATCTTCCATGTGTCAGGTATCTAGGTTGTAGCTGTACTGGTCTAGAGGCAAAAGGAATCGGAACTCGTGGGAGGGGTGATCGTGCATGTGCATATATCTCCTCTACCACAAGTTCTGATTCCTTTTGCCTTTACACCAATATGGCTACAACTTGGATACCTGACACATGGAAGATGGCAAATTTTAGCCGATATTTTAAAAACGAAATATTCATAATTTTACAAGGAGGAAGCAAGTTTTACCACCTGAAACCTGCGACCCTGCTCCTGCCTTTGTTCGAGGTAATTTGCATCATCACAGAGCCCAGAGACACCTCACCATAGAAGAAATCCCTGCCCAGAGAAGCATCCCTTCCTTTTCATCTTCTGTGAAATATGAAACATCCTAACTAGAAGGAAATATGACTGCATCCTGCTTGCCACCAAACAACTTTGAGGTAAACAGACTATTCCAACTTTTCTCTGAGTCTCATCTACATAAAATGAACTGTGCCAAACAGAAGATTTTTACCACACCCTTAACTCTCCTATGCAATATGAACTTTCATTTCTATCCAGGAGAACTTTTACAATCTTTTCTCCTATGCCTGAAGAAGGGTGCTTGTGCCCAAAAGCTTGCAATTAAAGAAATTTTTTTTGCAATATTCTAGTTGGTCTAATAAAAGATATCACCTCTATCACAAGTTCTGATTCCTTTTGCCTCTAAACCAATACAGCTACAACTTGGATACCTGATAACTTGTCCCCAGTACTTCAACTGTCTTTTTAAGCATTAGGAACCATGTTCAGAACCTGCGTAAGACAGCATGCAAGTGGAATGCTGCACTCGTGCACTACCAATTACAGGATAGGGCTTAAGTTTGCATTTTCCTGTGACACCTCTTTCTTGGCTGTGTGTTGTATTGTCCTATAACAAGTTTTTTTTCCCAATTCTTTATCTGAAACCCACTCTTTTGATTTCAAGTTCTTGTGACCTGTTATTTAAGTAAAGCAAACAAGCAGTTTAAAATTGGTGTTTCCCCTTGAAATAGTTACACTCAACTAGGAGGGACCAGGGATTTGGTCTAGAGCTGTACAGCTCAGTCTTGAACAGCCGTAGACTAAATGAGGATCTTGCAGCATCAAACACTAAGATAGTAATAACAAAACCATAGCAAAAAAGCAAGACAAAAGTTCCTTATTATGAATGACTTAAAATGTGACAAATCAGCAAAAATATATTTCTGATCATATAGTGTATAGACTTTGCATATATTATAGGGATTTATATGCTGTAAAGAAAATTTTCAAATATTATTTTATCAATTCTTCAGACTGAAAATAGGAGTGAAAAAGTCTTCAATGTCTTAAAGAAAAGCCCCCAAATTACCCTTCCCAAAAATACATTGCAATTTTTTAAATAGTTTTGAATTTAAATTATTTCTAACACTCAAGTTGAAGCAATACAGTATAATTTCCTTTTCTCATCTAGTTTTCTATTTGACACTTTTGCTGTTTTTCAAACAGAAATTAAACTAACATGACTCCTTTTATTTATTGAAGATTCAGTCCTATAGCTGCCCAGATTCCACTAAAGTAAATGGAAGATTGATTTGCAAAAAATGATTAATTCTTGTTTATCCCCATCTTTAGAAGTTTTATTTTTATTTTGTTGCTTCAGAGAGAAGAGGATACTCATGTCATGGTGAGTCCAGGAAAAACAGTGGCTACCTAATGTTGTTAGTCACAAAGGGATAGGTTATTTAAAAACACCTCATCCCTCTCTTTTTTACAGCATGGAAATGATCACAATAAACCAATAATTCTACAAATGTCTTGAGGTGAGGAGCAAAGCCAGCATGGCATTAACACCAATTATTTTGAAAACCTGGTTGTGGAAACACAACATCATCTGCAGATTTTGTGGATACAAAGAAACAGAGGATTTGAGGTATACCAGGAAATGTTCCACAAGGCATTTTCCAAGGCAGTTCATACTGCTTGCTCTCTCTCTGCCTATAGTCCACTATCTTCTGAGGACCACTGAGAGCTGAAAATAGATGCTATGGAACTGCCAGCAGCTGAGGAACCTTCATTCTTACCCCTCCATGCATGTGCATACACAACTCCTACCTTGCAGACAGCAATCCACCCCCCATTTCTGCTCCCTGCTGCTCTGGCCTCCAAGAATAAGAAGGTAGCTTGCCCAGTTCAGGAGCTATGGGAGTGCCGTCCTGGCTGGGCAACAGGCACCCTTGTGTTCTGCTTCTAGTTGCCATGGCTGTCTAGGGCAGGAAGACAATGGGAAGCTCCATCCAGGCTCTGGTGGGCAAGGCAGGCCCTGAGTGCTCACCCAGTCCAAAAAGAATAGCAGGTAAAATGAACCTAGTTCCACAATAACAATTACCAGTGAGCAATATTTTGGCCTACTGATTTGCCCCTCACATGGAGCTTCCAAGTAAGCATAGCCAACAGAGTCTACCTCCCTACTTGAGGGAATAAAATGTGTAATATTTGGAATTTAAGTCTTGACTTAAGGTTTTTCATTAAGGCCACACATAATAATTCAGTATTTTAACTTCATACTAATAACTTAGTAATTCCCTGTTCTTGAAGATAATTCTCTAGAAGAATAAGATTTGTTATCTTACCGGAGCTTTCTTCCCTGTGTTACGTGCACTGCCTTTTTTACTGTCTGCTAGCTGAGGGCTGGACTGTTTGCAGGGGGGTGGGAAACAAAACAAAGCAAAGCAATGAAACTGATTGTTTGGGAAAATTCAAGAAATATGTAGAGATTTCAGACAGAAAGCAAAGAACGAGTACATCAACTTTTGTTCAAGTCACCTTGCATGCAGGGTTAGGAAAACATGTGCCCCCCCCTTTAGAAAAACACACCAAAAAAAGGATTCTGTATACAACACAAAACAGCTATGTTGATTTGTTATTACATAAGAAATCATCAACACATTGCCAAATGTTCATTTCCATGAAGTGTGTACGTGTCATCTCAACTGCTGCTCTCTCCCAGAGGCCTCTCACCTTCTTCTCCAACAGCATATATATCCCCAAAAATGTAAATCTGGACTCTACTAGAAGTATCAGTACTACATGCTGTCCACTGACTTCAGTGTAAAACTTCAGCGCAGGAAATTAAATATATGTGCAAGACTTGGCAGGATCAGGGCCACTTCTTTTACATTGAACTTATATTGGTCTGTCCTATTTATTTTTTCTTGGCTAGTCCTCCTATGTTTATGAAAAGGTTCTGTTCTACAGTCCTGCTGCAGGTTATGTGGTGCCTTGTCTATGTGAAACGCGCACACACACTTGCTATACTATGCTGCAAAACCAAGTGAGAAATGTGATATATAGCCCACGTTACGCAGGCAACAGATATAATTATTAAATACTAAATATGTTCAGTGCTGGAGAGGTCAGATGAACAATACAATGGTAATTTCACAAGTAATAATTTTCACAAGTCATTATATAAAATGGAACATATATCTTACCGCTTTGCATGCAGGCTCCAATAACCACATCATTTCTTTCTGAATATCAAGAATTCTTTCTATACCCTGTAAATTTAAATAACAATATTCTTCCAAAACGATTAAAAATATCTTGCTTTAAGAATGTAAATTAGAAACATAACATTTTTAAAACAAAACAAAAAAGTTAAACCATAATATAAGCATACCAATACAAATTCTTATTTTAGATCATCTTAGCACAAGTAAGAGATATCCAGGGCCTTTTAAAACAGTTAAACTGTGCCACATTAACAAGCCAGGAGCAGTGAAACTATTCCTAGAACTGAATGTTTCCTTTTTCTTCTTGAATGGGAGTAGGTTGAGGAGGTGGTCAGTCCACCTCAAGAAGAATTCTACCTGAAATTAACAAGCATTAAGCATGTTGATTTGCCCTCTGAAGATTTGAGAGGAGACAAAAAGCTAGATGACTGCTATAAACTTCAAAAAGTGAGAGTGCAAACCACAAAAAATATACGCTGTGTCCCTTACCCAGTAATGCCAAATAAGGGAAGGCTGTTGAAGGAAAGGTGGCCTACATTGGAGGGTCCTAGGCCTGCTGGGCAGCTGCTATGTATTGATCCAAATATAATTCATGTATCTACCCAGTATTACCAATCAGTCATTTTCTAGCTCTATCCAAGAACTTAATATCTGAGCACTTCAAAAATGTTATTTTATTTAACCCTGTATGAAGCAAGGTTATCTCCATTTTTGAGATAATGGAGGAACAGAGAGAGTTAACTGAACTGTCTAATGTCACACTAGAAGCCTGAGGCAGTCAGAAACTGAACCATAATCACATGGGTCTGGTGCCTTAACAAGACCATCTTTCCTTTGGACGGAAAAGGTTAATGTTCCCTTCGTATTATGTGCCTTCATATTATGTTAAATCATGCTTGCATAGGTGTATTAGAAAGGGCAGAGGTTGCTGTCAATAACATATCTGCTGAGGAGGGCTGGTTATGTTAGTACACGCTGTAGCAAAGAATTCCTTACCACTCTCCCAAGAATCATTATGTCTTTGAAAGATACAATGCCTATAACTCCATCAAGAGGTTAAAGTGACATTTATAAACAAAAAGAGTAAAGCTCAACTGGTTTGTTCAGGTCACTAGCATACAAAAAAGGAATTATGGCTTTAATGTAGTGCAAGAGTGATGTTGTAGGCATCTTGTGCATATATGTTCTTAGACAAAACTCAGTTAACAAAAAAAAAAGGGGGGGGGGGGGGGTTGCCCTGCCAAAAAAGACAAAAAATAGCCTTTTTTGCAGGACTTAGGCTGCCGTCCTGTTGTTGCCTCCTTCTGTTGCCTCCTGCCTCAGTTTACCCATCAATGCAATGCCTTACCTTGTAGAACCACTGAAAAAGTCCCAGATGAACACCCCTAAGGACAAGGGAGCCAGTCCAGATAGGATGGGGGTGACACCAGCTGCTGTAGAGATCCCCAGGCAGTGCCAGCCCCTGCCCCAGCTGGGATCAGGGCCAAGGCAGCCCCCCAAGCAGTACCAGTCTCTGCCCATGTTCATCTACACAGCTGGAGGCCTAGCATGGAACCATTGAAAAGTTCAGACTACATTACCCACAATACACTGCAAGTGGGACATTCCCCTTAAGCCCTATGTTGCATCAGGCAGCCTTGGCCTGTACCCCTTCCCATAATGCACTGTGGCCACCTTCAGCCAAAAAGAAGAGCCCTGAAGCATTATGGGATACAGAGGGGGTTCAACAAGAAGAATGGCAGAGGGGTGGAGGGCATGAAGGTCCATCTTACACGAAGGCTTCAGATTCCAGCACTTTGACCAAAAATGGGTATGTCCAACTCAAGTTATTGCCCATTTTCATGTGGGCTCTTTTCCCCTCCAAAAGTAATCCTTTCTAATGAAAAAGGTGGCCAAAAGCTTGGATTCTCCATCATCTTCCTTTTCCCTCAAGTACATCTACCCATGTTTCAGGTACCTCCTGGATCCAGAAACATTAGAGACTAAATTACAAGAAAATAGTGGCATCACTCAGCCTAGAGAGACAATGTGGAAATACAGACTGGGGAGATAAGATCCCTGCTACCCACCCCTAAGCCCTGTGGGCTGAGTAGTCACTTGATGGGCCAGATTCGGCCCGTGGGTTCTAGGGTGCTATCTTCTAGCTTTAAGGAAGTGCTGGATATCTCCTGATCTGTGATGACGCTCTCAGTATTTTAGCCCCCACTTTAGGCCCAGCTTATCCAAGCCTCATGTAATCTTATTGAATCATAGAGCAACTCAGCTTGCCAGGCCTTCAGGAGATCATGTCCAGTCTAACCCCAGCTTCTGACAGCTTCATCCACAACTAAATCATCTCCCTTCCCCCGGCTCTTAGAAACATCCAAGGATAATTGAGGATGAACTGCAAGGAGGGGAGACTTTTCTCAGTCTCAGGATTTTCAAGGCAACAGGGTTATTACCATATTTCCTGGCACACAATGCACAGCTTTTTCCTAAAAAACAAAACAAAAAACCCTTCAGCTGATGGGACTTGGAATACGTATTATATGTGAGGAAATACATTAAGAGCCATTTCTGCCCTTTGCTGGGCAAAAGTGGAATCTGAAGCAATCCAAGGAACTGCCCTCATGGCTGTAACTCAGTCACAAGGAAAGATCTTCCTTTCTTCACCCCGTGTTTCAAAAGCAAGGGGTGTATTATAGTCCAGAGCATGTGTGGGTGAGCAAATATGGTAGGATTTTGGGTACTTGTCTCAGGGTTCTTTGGACAAGCCCCGCTGTTTTGGAGCCCACCTCGGCAATGCTGGTACAGCAACCTCCTGATTCTTAAGGACAACCAGATGCTTTCAGAGCTGCCACTGATCTCAGGTATTTTCCAGCAGGTTTGTGATCTTCTTTCTCCCCTACCCACCTGCTACCTTGTTTGGTTTCAGCATTTAAAAGCCACCATGAAGTTCTTAGAATCATAGAGCATGAGGGTTGGAAGGGCCCTCAGGAGGTCACATCTAGTTCAACCCCCTGCTCAAAGCAGGACCAGCCCCAGTTACATCATCCCAGCTAAGGCTTTGTCTAGCCAAGTCTTCAAAACCCAAGGACGGAGACTCCACCACTTCTCTGGGTAACCTGTTCCAGTGCTTTACTACCCTTCTAGTGAGAAAGTTCTTCCTAATATCCAACCTCAACTTCCCTTGCTGAAACTGGAGCCCATTGCTCCTTGTTCTGTCATCTGCCACCACTGAGAACAGTCCAGCTCCATCTTCTTTGCAACCCTCCTTCAGGTAGTTGAAAGCTGCTATTAAATCCCCTCTCAGTCTTCTCTTCTCCACACTAAATCAGCTCAATTTCCTCAGCCTCTCCTCACAAGTCATGTGCCCCATCCTCCAACCATTTTTGTTACCCTCCAATGAGTCCACATCCTTTCTGTAGTGGGGGGCCCAACATTGGATATAGGACTCCAGATGTGGGCTCACTAGTGCCGAATGAAGGGGAAGAATAATTTCCCTCGATCTGCTGGCAATGCTTCTACCAGTGCAGCCCAGGATGCCACTAGCCTTCTTGGCAACAAGGGCACACTGTTGATTTGTCTTCAGCTGCTTGCCCACTGTAACCCCCAGGTCCTTTTTACAGAACTGCTGCTTAGCTTGTCAGCCCCCAGCCTATCCCGGTGCATGGGATTGTCCCGTCCTAAGTGCAGGACTTTGCACTTATCCTTACTGAACCTCATGAGATTTCTTTTGGCCCAATCCTCCAATATGTGTAGGTCACTTTGAGTCCTAGCCCTGCCCTCCATCATATCTACTACTCCTCCCAGCTTGGTGTCATCCACAAACTTGCATCCCATCTTCCAGATTGTTAATGAAGATATTAAACCTAACCAGCCCCAGGACCAACCCGTGGAGGACCCCACTTGATACTGGTTGTCAGCTAGACTTTGAGAGATCTCAGGTTGGACACATGCATCCCAGGATCTTGAGACATTCAGGCCACCAGATTTCTGGATGTCAGAGGGCCATGATCCCTGTGCTAGACTCCTCCCAGGTTGTAAAGGTTATAAATGCATTCTCCTGGCCTTTTCTGCCCTCTCAGGCTCCCTGAACCCTCATCCTCACCCACAGCAGCTTGCAACATGATGCCTAGAAGGGCGAATCCCCAGCCCTGCCAGGAACCCCAGTCATGGCAGTTCATGGAGGGCAGGGCAACTTCACACCATTGGATGTGTGGGCGTATTGCCCAGGTGAGCAGCTGATCAAGGAGTGTGGTGCTAAGTAAGATGGGTGTAGGTGGGGGAAACTAAGGCACACCCACTGGCCTCTGCTTCATTAACCCTAATAGAGGGAGACCTGGTTTACACTCCAACAGAGCCATGTGTAGTTGTACCTTTGACCCCCTAGCCCTTTTAGGATCATGGGAAAGTTGGACTGAAAGGGCCCTCCAGAGGTCACATCTAGTCCAACCCCCTGCCTGAGGCAGGATTATATATATATATATATATAGGAATATATAGAATATATATAGAATATATATGAATATAATATATATATATGAATATATATGAATATATAGATATATATATCTACACATACGTGTGTGTGTGTGTGCGTGTGTGTGTGTGTGTGTGTGCGCATTCGCCTATCTATATCTCTATATATTCATTTGTTGGCATATATATATATTTCATAGATTTCATAGACATTAGGGCTGGAAGGGACCTCGGAAGATCATCGAGTCCAGCCCCCCGCCCAAAGGGCAGGAAGTCAGCCGGGGTCATAGGATCCCAGCAAGATAAGCATCCAGTTTGCTCTTGAAGGTGTTCAATGTAGGCGCTTGAACCACCTCCGGTGGCAGGCTGTTCCAGACCTTGGGGGCTCGGACAGTAAAGAAGGTCTTCCTTATGTCCAGCCTGAAACGATCTTGAAGTAGTTTGTGACCATTCGACCTCGTCATCCCTTGGGGCGCTCTGGTGAACAAACGTTCCCCCAGATGCTGGTGGTCACCCCTGATAAACTTGTAGGTGGCCATCAGATCACCCCTGAGCCTGCGCTTTTTCAGGCTAAAGAGCCCCAGGGCTCTCAGCCTCTCATCGTAGGGTCTGCTTCCCTGACCTCTGATCATGCACGTGGCTCTTCTCTGGACTCTCTCAAGCTTCTCCACATCCTTTTTGAATTGTGGAGCCCAAAACTGGACACAGTACTCCAGCTGCGGCCTCACTAAGGCCGAGTACAGGGGGAGAATGACGTCCCGGGATTTGCTTGAGAAGCATCTATGGATGAAAGCCAGCGTTTTGGTCGCTTTACTAGCCGCCGCATCGCATTGCAGGCTCATGTTCATCTCGTGGTCAATGATGACCCCCAAGTCTCTTTCTTCCATAGTGCTAGCCAACATAGCACTGCTGAGCCTATAAGGATGCGGTGGGTTTTTTTCCCCCCAAGGTGGAGAACCTTGCATTTATCGGCGTTGAACACCATCAGATTCTCGTCCGCCCACTTGCTGAGCCTGTCCAGGTCAGCCTGGATAACCTGCCTGTCTTCTGGTGTGGATGCTTTGCCCCAAAGTTTGGTGTCATCGGCGAACTTGGCCAGTCCGCTTCTGACTCCAGTGTCCACATCATTAATGAAGATGTTGAACAGTATGGGTCCAAGGACAGAGCCTTGGGGGACCCCACTGGTCACAGGACACCACGATGAGTGCTGGCTATCCCTTAAGATGTTGGCGTCGGCCAGTCCATTAAGGATGGCCTCTTCAATAAACTTTTCTAAGATCTTCCCCGGGATAGAAGTCAGGCTAATGGGCCTATAGTTAGCCGGATCCACTTTCCTCCCTTTCTTGAAGATAGGCACCACATTGGCCTTCTTCCAGTCTTCGGGCACTACACCAGAGCGCCAAGAGTTTTCAAAGATCCGTGCTAGAGGCTGGGCTATGATGCTCGCCAGCTCCTTGAGTACCCTGGGGTGAAGATTGTCAGGGCCGGCTGACTTGAAGGTATCCAGCTTCTCAAGATGTCCCTTCATGAAGTCAGCATCAATGGAGGGCAGG